GATGGTTGTCTTGTTACAGGAAAGATCAAAACAAACACAAAGTTAGAAGAAAATATGAAAATGATATGTTATGCAATCAAAACAGCTCCAACCTAACTTACCTGAATAGGCTATTCATGCCTAAAACATAGGAAGAGGAGATAGGATCAGACATTGACACAAATTATCACCATTCCCTAAATATAAATTAATTAGCATGAAAGGAACAAAAAAGCCTAGAAATCACCTCAAAAAGCAAATACTTAATCTTGCTAAGCAGAGAGATATGGCAGCCAAAGATAATCATAGGAATAAATTCATTTATAAAATCATATGAAGAATAGCAGATTATGAGCAGTATCTTCTCATAAAACATTAAATAGTGGAAAGAAAATCAAGTTTAAAAGAGCTTGGCAAGAGACTCAACTAAGAAAAGTTATCCTGAGAAGAGCTAAGTCTATCAAAGTTGGTCATCGCACAATGTTTCAATGTTCTCCTGGTTCTGCTCACTTCATTCAGCATCAGTTTATGTAAGTCTTTCCAGGTTTTTCTGAAATCTGCCTGCTCATCATTTCTAATGGAACAATAGTATGAATGTAATATTCATATACCACAGCTTGTTCAGCCATTTCCCCAGTTGATGGGCATCCCCTCAATTTCCAATTCTTTGCCACCAAAAAAGATTTGCTATAAATATTTTTGTACATGTGGGTCCTTTTCCCTTTTTTATGATCTCTTTGGGATACAGACCTAGTAGTGCTATTGCCGAATCAAAGGATATACACAGTTTGGTTGCCCTTTGGTAATAGTTCCAAATTGCTCTCCAGAATGGTTGGATCAGTTCACAACTCCACCAACAATGCATTAGTGTTTCAATTTTCGCTCATCTTCTCCAACATTTATCATTTTCCTGTTCTGTCATATTAGCTAATCTGATAAGTGTACAGTGATACCTCAGAGTTGTTTTAATTTGCATTTCTCAAATCAATAGTGATTTGGGACATTTTTTTTCTTATGTGTTTAGATGGCTTTGATGTCTTCATCTGAAAACTGCCTGTTCATATCCTTTGACCATTTGTCAATTGGGGAATGACTTACATTCTTATAAATTTGACTTAGTTTTCTATATATTTTGGAAATGAGACCTTTATCAGAGAAGCTGGCTGCCCAGCTTTCTGCTTCCCTTCTAATCTTGGTTGCATTGGCTTTGTTTGTGCAAAACCTTTTCAATTTAATATAATCAAAATTATCCATTTTGCATTTCATAATGTTCTCTATATCTCATTTTGTTATAAATTCTTCCCTTTTCCATAGATCTGACAGGTAAACTATTCCTTGCTCTCCTAATTTGCTTATGGTGTCAACCTTCATGTCTAAATCACATACCTATTTTGATCTTATCTTGGTATGTGGTGTAAGATGTTGGTCTATGCTTAGTTTCTGCTATACTATTTTCCAGTTTTCCCAGCATTTTTTGTCAAATAATGAGTTCTTATCCCAGAAGCTGGAGTCTTTGAGTTTATCAAACAGTAGATCAATATAGTCATTGACTACCGTGTCTTGTATACCTAACCTATTCCACTGATCCACCACTCTATTTTTTAGCCAGCACCAAATAGTTTTGATGATTGCTGTTTATTAATACAGTTTTAGATCTGGTACAGTTTGGCCACCTTTCCTTGCATTTCTTTTCATTAATTCCTTTGATATTCTTGAGCTTTTGTTCTTCCAGATGAATTTTGTTATTATTTTTTTCTAGCTCTATAAAATAATTTTGGGTAGTTTAATTGGTATGACCCTGAATAAATGAATTAATTTAGGTAGAATTGTCATTTTTATTATATTAGTTTGACCTACCCATGAGCAGAACCCTATGTACCTGCTACTTGCTGCTCTTGGGAAGGACCTTATATGGGTTACTTAATCCCGAGCTTTCAGTGCTCCTCATTTTTCTCTTCCTTTTCCATGGCACATTCTTCTGCCTGCTCACTTTCTGACAACACATTAGGATTCCCCTCTGCCTCGGCGGATTCTTTTTCTTTTTTACATTGAAGCCCTTCTCTTTGTTTTAAGGAGCACTTCATTCCCTCTGATAACCTGGAGAGTAGAGTCCCAGGAGTCCATTTATCTTATCTGTTAGCAGGTAAACCAGTCTACACTTTGAGCATAGATAACAGTCCCTTGAGAGCACCTAGGTGGACAGAGCACTGGGGTTGGAAACAGGAAGACTCTTCATGAGTTCAAATCTGACCTCACACACTTCCTCACTGTGTGACCCCAGGCAAGTCGCTTAACCCTGTTTGCCTCAATTCTTTATTTGTAAAATGAGCTGGAGAATGAAATGACAAACCGCTCCACTTTGTTTGCCAAGAAAATCCCAAATGGGATCACGAAGACAAAAAAAACCATTGTGGTCTTTCTGAACATCACTGTTAAAATTCGTCCTTCTTTTCCTATGTGCTAGAAGTAAAATCCTCATTTGTTTGTCATTGTTTATAGTACATCTTGTGGCCAGCTCTAAGCATGTTCCTTGGCTATTTTCCATACTTAGAACTCTCCCCCTCCTCATTTCTGCCTTGTGGCTTTCTTCAAGTCTCAGCCAAAGTCCCACCTTCTTTAAGATGACTTTTCCAGTCCCCCTTAATCTTAGTGCCTTCATTTCCAATTTATCCTGTATATATCTTATTTGTACATTGGTTTTTTACATACTATCTCTCCTATTAGCTTGGGAGCAACTTAAGGGTAGAGACTGTTTTTTTGTCTTTCTTTGTATCCTCAGTGCCTGGCACGCAGTAAGTAGGCAAATGCTCTCTGACTGACTGACTGATTAGAAAATTGCTATGACCGATTTTACTCAGTAGACAATAGGGAGCCAATATAAGTCATATAAGTAAATCTAGGCATAAGGAAGATTATTCTGGCAGCAATGAAAGGGATGGATTGAAGTGGGGAGAGAAAGGAAACAGTTAAGCCCTGCTTAGAAGGCATCTACAAAAATCTAGGCGAGAGATAATGAGAACCCGTACTAAAGTTTGTGGTTGTAGGAATAGAGAGGAGATTAATATAGATTCAAGAGATGTCCCAAAGACTGCGATATACCACAGGATAGTGTCCATTGCTTAGATGTGAATAGTGAGGGAAAGGGAGTATTAAATATAACTCCAAGGTTTTGAACATGAGAGATTAAGTAAATGTTGATATTACAGACAGAATTCTAAAGTCAAAAGGAGGAGGAGGTTTAGGGAGAAAGATAAGAAAATCACTTTTCTAACACATTGAGTTTGAGTTGCTAGTGAGCTACCCAACTTGAAATTTCTTGTGATTGAAGATAAGTTTCAAGAGCTAAGAAGAGGAGTCGGGCTGGAGAGAGAGATTTAGGAATCCCCTGAATACAGGTAGTTGAAATCAATGACTGGAAATGACATGGCCAAGGGAGGAAGTATAAAGATAGAAAAAAAGAGCAGAGGGCCAAGGATAGAGCCTTAGGGAAACATCCGCCATAAGTGTGTCAGCAAAAGGGTAGACAACAGTTTAGGAGTGTGTGCTGTCTCTAAAATTAAGTGAGGTGTAAGCATACAGATGAGAGGTTGTCAGCAACTGTCAAATGTTTCAGAAAGGTCAAAAGCACTGAGAGAAAGTGTTCATTTGTCAATGTGGTGATTAGCAAGTTATTGGTGACCTTTAAGAGAGCAGTTTGTCAAAAGGTGAGATGAGAAGAGAGACTCCGAGGAGGTGAGGCGATAGTAAGGAAGGAGTAACATGAACACCTGAGAGCTTTTTAAAGGAATTTAGCAGTGAAGTAGAGAGAAACCGGATAGTAGGTGGGCGGAGGTGCGGTGATTAAAGGAGAGATTTTTTTTTTTAGGATTTAGAGAGATCTGAGCACTTTGTAGGAAGATGGAAGAATGAGAAACTGAAGATACACAAGAGAGAGAAAGCGTAGAGAATAAGATCAAAGGTCTAAGTAGTGTGGCCTTAGTGAGAAGTAGGGATGCTTCTTCTTCTGTGAAAGAAAGGATGACAGAGTGGGTGATGCTAAGAATTTACGAATATCAGACACTTGACACTTACTAGCTGTGTGACCCTGGGCAAGTCACTTAACCGCAATTGCCTCAGCAAAAAAAAAAGAAAAAGAATAGAAGCTGCATCAGAAAAACCTGTAAAGACTTATCTGAACTGATACTGAGTGAAGTGAGCAGAACCAGGAGACTATTGTATACAGTAATAGGCACAATATTTGGCGACTGACTTTGATAGACTCATCCCTTCTCAGCAATGCAAGGATCCAAAACAACTCCAAAGGACTCGTGATGAAAAATGCTGTCCACATCCAGAAAAAGAACTATGGAGTCTGAAAGCAGATCAAAGCATATTATTTGTGCTTTTTCTCTTTTTTTGTTTGTTTCTTCTTTCTCATGGTTTCTCTCATTAGTTCTAATTCTTCTTTACAACATGACTAATGTGAAAATAGGCTCAATATGAATGTTTATGTAGAGCCTATATCAAATTGCAAGCTATCTTGGGGTGGGGGGAGGGGAGAGATGGGGAGAAAATTTGGAATTCAAAATCTTATGGAAGTGAATGTTGAAAACTAAAAATAAATAAATTTAAAAAATAAAAGAATAGAAGCGACATAGCTTTTGCAATGAATAAAAAAAATGGCATACATGCTTTAGGGCATTTGGTTAACCATATAAATAATCCGTCTTTAATAACTACCTCAGACAAATGAGGGCTTGAAGAGAGAGAAAAAGGTTTGGATCAGTCCCTGGGGAGAATAAGACAGAGATTCAGCAATGGTTAGGTAGAAGGAATGTTGAGTAGCCAAGCAGACCCTGCCAAGCAATTGGTAGCATGTGAAATCAGCTCCCTTTCCAATAAACACGTACGTAACTCAGTGCTTTGTAACTTGAAAGCACCGAATGAATTTGAGCTAGCTAGGGAATACTAAGATTCTCCGACTACTTTGGGATGCCCTGACATTCAGTCTTGTTGATAAAAAGCATTGGCTTTGATTCTAGAAAACGTGAAGAAGAAAGCAAGAGGAAAGAAGGAGAACACCAAAAGGGAACGCTGAACCACATGAAGGGCCGAACACAAGCACAGAAGCTTCCAGAGAAGCGAACCCCAGCCACCAGGCCTCCACAGCCGCCCAGCAAACCCACGATTATTCCTGGCAAACCACCATTCTCCAGCAATGCCTCTCCAAGCCGAATGGGAAAAAACAGAGGGTCCCCAGGAGTGTCCCCAGACATAGCAAACAGAAAAGAGCAATTTCCTTCCACAGAAAAACAGGGAGAAAATCACCAAAGACAAAAAGGTACATTTTAACTCACACTAATGAAACAGTAGATATCAGAATCATGTCTCTAAAGTTGTAAAGGAAATAAGAGGTTATCTGGTTCAACCTTTTCACTTTACAGATAAGGAAACTGAGGGCAAAGGAGGTTAAGTGACTTACCCAGGGTCACAGAGGTAGAAATTGTCAAAGAAAGGATTTGAGCCCAGCTCCTTTGTTTCTTTCCACTGAACCATACTGCCTGGAAGCTGGGCTAATGTCTCTTTTAGCTAACAGGGTGCTGACAAGGCTTTCTTTATTGGTTTCTTTTACTTTTTCTTAGTATCACAGTCATGTCTATTTCACTCCTTCTCCCTATTCCCTTCAATAAAAATGCATAGATAAGCAAAGCCAGCTATGAGGTTAATTCAGTTAATCACACCTGCAGCTACAACCTGACTATGTAGACCAGATTTCCATAACCCAAGAATCACCACTTTCCCAGATGTTGCTTACCCCATTAGTAACCAAGTGGGAAACAAATACCTCCAGCGCCAAGTTTGCAAACCTCAATAAAAAGTAATGATTGCAAATGCCACAACTCATTAGCTTTGCCCAAAATATTCTATTACATAGCCACAGATTTCACCTTCTCAGGTTAGAACAATGTTAACCTTGGATGACACCTTAAAGATCCTAGAATCGTAGATTTAGATCTAGAAAGGACCTTAGTCCAAACCCACCCCATTTCACAGATGAGAAAATTGAAGCTTGAGTGGAAACTTGACTCGGTCTAGATCTCACCAGAAGCAGCAGAGCTGAGATCTGAAACCAGGTCACCTGACTCCCATTCCAGTACCCCACCATGCCTCACAATCCTCATCGGCATAACAATTTTTGTCTAAAGCGTCCTTGTCTTTTATGGTTTTTGAGTCTTATATCCCTCTACACAGGGTTCGCCATCCCCGTTTTAAATATGAGGAAGTTAAGGCACTGGAGGAGAGCAAATAATTTGCCCAAGATAACACAGTGAGACTAAGACAGAGCAAGAACTATGACCAGGATCTTCAGGTGTCTGACTCGGCGCTCTTTCTATTGAAACTATCGGTGGTGAGGGCGACCCAATGAAAGGATGGAGGATCTCAAAGTGAGTGGTCATGGCTAGAGAGGGAAGGAAGATAGGATTTTAGAACTGGACAGGACTGTAAGAGTAAGAGAGAGATATTGGAAAATGTAGCTAGGATCAGTGCTGTTTTTGTGGAATGATGAAAGTGTTATTGGCTGCAAGATTTTTCAAACTTATTTACGTTTCTGAACTGTAAGCTTCCTTATTTCATGTGATTGAGCCATGACCTAACCCAGGGGTAAGGAAACCTGCGACCTTGAGGTCACATACGGCTCCCTAGGTCCTCAAGTGCAGCCCTTTGACTGAATCCAAACCTCACAGAACAAATCCCCTTAATAAAAGGATTTGTTCTGTAAAACTCGGACTTGATCAAAAGGCTGCACCCAAGGACCCAGAAGGCCACATCTGGCCTCAAGGCTGCAAGTTCCCCACCCCTGTGGGCCTAACCCTTGTTTTAACAAAGATAAAGTACATGCCAGGGAACAGTCTTTTGAAGCTCAATATGAGAAGTATTATTGCCTCTCTGTCCATCCCCCATCATTATTACTATCATCAGCATCACTGTGATGCTAGAGAACAAGGGTTTCCCAACCTGGGGTAGGCATGCCTCCAGCAAGTAAGAGAAACATGTCAAGAGGACATGGGAAATATTTGGTAAAAATATTATATTATTCTATTGAAATATTCTAAAAGTAGTAGGGCTAGTGAAAAATATTGAGGAGTGGAGAGAGAACAGTGAGAAGGTAATGTGGAGTAGGAAAGGAAGTGTTATGCGTCTGAAATATTTGAGAGAGACAATTAAAGGAGTAATTCCTACTGGCCAAAACCCAAGGAATGAGGTTAGATATGAAACCTTTCTTGTATTAAGAGAGTAAAAAAAAATCAGTGGCAACAATCCAATGGAAAAACAAGCTAAATTATCTCCACAATAACTGGAAACTCTGAATTGATTTCCAATCGATGAAGTTACAAAATTTTGGGGAAGCATGTCCTATTCTTAGATGTGCTCACAAGGCATTCATTCCATCTATAACAACAGGATGAATTAGAATTCTCAATCTGTTCTTGATCAAATCCAAAGCAACAGATTGGATATGCTACTATTTCAAAAACTGTACCACGACTACTACAAATAATAAGAGCTAATGTTTGTATAGCACTTACTATGTACCAGGCACTGTGGTAAGCATTTTACATCTCATATAATCCTCACAACCCTAGGAGGTAAGTGCTATTTTTATCCCCATTTTACAGTTGAGGAAACTGAAGCAAACAAGGGTTAAGTGGCTTGCCCCGAGTCACACAGCTAGTAAGTATCTGGGGCCAGATTTTAACTCAGGTCTTCCTGACTCCAGGCCCCTATGCTCTATCCACTGTACTGCCTAGCTGCCCTTAACAATGAACTTTGGGTTAAAAAGAAATAGAATTTCTGGTCCTAAAAAATGTGGTTATGTACCAATGAAAGTTTTCTTTATGAAACATTAATCTATTTAATTTCACATTGAATATTATTAAATTGATTTTTATTAATTTCTCACATAGGATAAACTCCAGAATTTATTTCTTTTCATATTGAATAGAGTGTAAAGGAAGGTTTGCTGAAAGGCAAGGGGGTACAGTGAATAGAAAAGGTTGAGACCTCTGCTATAAGAGTATTTTCTGGACCAATTGTACGCAAAATAAAGTGTCAAGGGAGCTAGGTGGTGCAGTGGATAGAGCTCCAGCCTTGGAGTCAGAAGGACCTGAGTTCAAATCCAGCTTCAGACATTTGACACTTACTAGCTGTGTGACCCTGGGCAAGTCACTTGACCCCAATTGCCTCACCCAAAAAAAAAAAAGAAGAAGAAGAAGAAGAAAGAAAAATAAAGTGTCAAAATAAGCTGTGCCTTGTGATTTTAGTGCTAATAAATATCTGCTTTTCCTGTCTCTTTTAAGAATCAACCAGAGAGCATTCCAAAGGCAAAGTTCCTTCTGTCCACTTTGGCCCCAATGAAAGGGATAATGAACACAAGCCTCAGGTGGCCATTTCTAAGTCAGAAGGTGAGAAAAGCCAAGAATCGCCATCTCTCAGAGGAAAGGGTGTCCCAAGGCATGCCTCTTCTAGTAAGGCAAGGGGAGCTGGAGAGAAGTTAGAAGATCGGACGCGGACAGTGGCTTGTAGCGGTGAGCCCTTGGACAGAATAGCAGCAATGAGCTTGCCGAATTCTAACTGCCCAGTTGGAAACTTGAGGCACCGCAAGCACCGCGAAACGGTATCAAGGACCAAAGTGTACTCGATGAAAAGACAAAGTAAAGAGCTAAAAGGAGAGAGGTGCTCTCCGGCTGGTTCTAGCAGGCCTGGAAGTGCCAAAGCGGAACCCTCTTACCCAGGGAATGAGGCTTCATGTCATCGGGGACAAAGAAGCAGAGGGGCAGATAATGAAGTTGTGGGAAGAGTTTGCTCTGGGCTACCAAGTAAAACAGGATTGGCAAGACCCGGGCCCAATAACACAGGGATGCACCCCATGCCTGGTGACAGGCTGAACTCGGTGAAGACAAAAACAGCAAATGCAGGTGATCGTTTGTCCTCCCCAGTGGGGCAGAATTTCAATATTGAACTTCTCCCATTGGAGAGCCGGCTGATGATCATTGAAAAAGAAAGAACAAGGAAAGAGTTGTTCCGGAAAAAGAACCACGCTGCTGCTGTGATTCAGAGGGCCTGGAGAAGGTAACGTTATTCTTGATGAAGTGATTTATTTTTTTAACAGTTCTTTGGGAACATATAAACTTGATATCCTAAATGCACTAATTAGTTTTTTTTTCCCTACAGCATTTCCAAGTTACAACAGGGGGACGTATTTTCTATCCAGTAACAGCGTGCCATATTGTTTGACCTAGCCTTTAGTCATTGAACGGATGTGGCCTCAGACATACTGGAACCTAGGAAAGACCTTAATTTAGAAAGGCCAAGGTCATCCACTGCATCCTGGGCCATTGCCAATCATCTTGACTTTTTGTCTTGCCACTGGAATTTGATGTCTCTGGAATAGAAAGTGAGGCTAATGACTTTGCCCAGCTCTGCCTCATTTAAATCCAATTTATATACAAGTCAAGACATCACCCTTATAATGGCATTGGTCCTCTTCGAGAAGGAAGGACAAACAACAACTATGTTGCTTAGTAAAGGTGTACCAAATATGAACCTTTTATTGCCTAGGGGGTATCAGGAAGGATTAGAGGTATCACTACTATCAACCATTTACATTAGATTTGGGGCAGCTACGATATGCTATAATGGCAAGAGGATTAAACTTGGAGTCAGAAGACCCAGTGTCTTTTCTACCACTTATTAGCTATATGACTTTGAGCTAATCATTTAAGTTTTCTGTGGCTCAATTTCTCCACCGTTAATATTAGTATAATGACAGTTCAATTCAATAAACATTTATTAAGTGCCTGCTATGTATGAGATAGTGTGCTAAGTGCAGGGGATACAAATTAGAAAAAGACATGGTCTCTGCCCTCAAGGAGCTTCTAATCTAATGGGGTAAGACAATGCAAAAAAGGAAGCCAAAAAGGAAGGGCTGGGCCACTGGGGAGTACCCAGCACAGGGGCATGTTATTCCATGGAGTCGAAGCCAAGGAGAGCTGATGATGGAAAATGAAGTTACCAGGAAGGTTGTGAGACTTCTAGAAAAGGACAGTTTGGTTAGGAGTTTGATGTTCCACCTACCGATCATCCAATCAGAAGGGAGAAGCACCTGAGGGGGAGGGGAAGAAGTGTAGAGTATCAAAATCTCAGTTATTCTTTCTGGCGCTTTCCTCAGAGGGTTTTTGTGAGTAAGAATCAAATGAAATAGTATATTAAAGTACAATGTAATTCTTAAAGCCCTATATAATGTGCTGTTATTCTTTTTTTTAGAACGCTGCTGACTAGCCAAATTTGATGAAACTTGTCCAAAATACTGTCTGTCCTTTTCAGTTGTACAACTCGTATCTGCCCCTACTGCCTTTAGATTAACCTGAGAGGTTCCACATCTCACAAATTAGAACCTATTAGGTAGTTTCATCCTAAGCTCCTAACCCTTGTGGTAACAGTATAGAGATAAAGAATGCCACGTTTGAGGAGTCTTTGACTCAGAGAAGATCTGGAGGTTGGAGCAAAGCAACTTCTCATTCTGGGTAGATGGCCCCTGCAGGATAAGAGGTGGGGACTGAAAGCCTCACACAAGAGTTTGGAGTGCAGTCAAAGGAGCATGGTGGTCTGTTCAGTGTTAGAGGGCTCTCGGGAGTATGGTGATATTTTCGGTATTAGATGGCTGTCAAAAGAGTATGTTGACGTATTTGGTAATAGAAGGCTGTCAAAAGAAGATGGTAGTGTATATATGGTTTTGTATGTATATGCAGTGTTAGACAGCTGGCACTGAAGGACTGTTATAAGAATAACAAATAGAAAGAAAGCATCAGAATTCACAGAGACTATCAAAGGCAGAAAGATGTAGGGGAAAAGATGAAAGAAAGCTTTTTCTTACATTTCTTCTTGAAAACATAAGAAATAGACAAAATGAAATCTAAGCTAACAGGGAAAATAAACCATGTTCGAAAAGACAGATGTTCACTGACTGAAATGAAGAGAACGCTAATATCTGTTCTTTATCACTCGAAGGGGTAGGGTCTGACGAGTTCTATCTGTAAGTTTCCATGATCCACTAACTGGCACACAATCTCTCCTAAGAACGCTGGGTCCATAGTATCACCTAGAGGAGTAATTCAACAGGATTCCTGTAAGCCATCTTATTGCAAACAGTATAACCCTTTGAAAAGCCAGTAATGCTGTTGATTGAAGTACAGTCTGAAAATTGCTATAAAACAGCCTTCAGTTTCTGAATGCAGAATCAGAGACTTATGACTGAAAAATTCTAATTATACTTTTTGGACCAGAACTGTGATTTCACTAGTATGGGCCATTCCTGATGAGGAAATGCTTCTTCCAATGCAGGTTGCCACCTGATCTAAAACTTAGAATCTTAGAGAGTTACCCAATTGCACTTACTGGATTCATATTTGGGGATGGGAAAAAACTTTCATAGCTCTTTCTTCACTATTTTATCTTTGTTTGTCATTTTTTTTTCCATCTTAAGACTATGAAAAAAAAAATAATGATATGCTGGGACGGTCTCCAGTTTGATATTATGTATAAGTACCAACCACAGGTAGCTTTTTCTTAACAAGTTGCTATAGAGCTAGGGCAGCTAGGTGGTCCAGTGGATAGAGAGCCAGGCCTAGAGTCAGGAAGACTCATCTTTGAGAGTTCAAATCTAGCCGCAGATACTTTGTAGCTGTGTGACCCTGGGCAAGTCACTTAACCTTGTTTGCCTCAGTTTCCTCATCTGTAAAATGATCTGGAGAAGGAAATGGCAAACCACTCCAGTATCTCTGCCAAGAAAACCCCAAATGGGGTCACAAAGAATTGGAGACGTCCAAAAAAAAATGACTCAACAATAACATAGACCTAGTGTCATGGCTGGTATGCAACCAGTACCTGAAGTCAAATTAAGAGCACTAGACTGGAGATCAAGAGATCTGAGTTCAAGTTCTGTAAATTTGGACTCAGTCAAAGGGCCGTACTTGAGGACCTAGAGGACCACACGTGGCCTCGAGGCTGCAGGTTCCCCACCCCTGATCTAGACTCTGTCTTCTCTTTTATAAATCATGACTTGCTGCTGTCAAAGTGACCCAGAACCCAGTCTTCATACATATCCGGCTTCATAGACTATCACTTCCCTTATCCTAGAGACATTGTTTCTCTGTCCCTTTGCTCCAGGTAGAGTAATTTTTTTCTAAATTCACTTTATCCCTTCACTAATGCCTGAAATAAAATGTAAGCTTCTTGAAGGCAGGGACTACTTTTTTCAATCTTATATCCCCAGAGCCTAACACAGTGTTTGGCACATAGTAAGTGCTTAATAAATGTTTATTTAATTGAAATGTTTTATTTCATGTTCTTCACTCAAATCTCTTATCATTCTTCTTCCAGTAAGATTTGCCCATTAGTAAACAATTTATAAATATTTCTTAAATTAGTAGGTTGATGTTGAATTTAATCTTACCTTAGTCTCAATGAAAATGTTGCTGTGGGGGAGGGAGGGGGAGAAATTTTAAAACTCAAAAGCTTATGGAAGTGATTGTTGAAAACTAAAAATAAATTAATTTTTTAAAAAAGAAAATATTGCTGTTTAAAAAAAAAACCTTTTACATATAGAATGCACTTGATAAAAAGCTTTTAACTATAGTGAAGAAAGACAAATGTCCCAAACTCCAAATACATGTTATATCTACAAATTGGTTTGGATTCTTTAGCGCACGTTTAGTTGGAGAAGATGCTATGCCAACAAAAAACCTAGTTTTAAATATAGCCAATACTATATATTTTGTGTATCCAGAGAAAGCCCAGTCAGAATTAGCTGATGATGGTGGAAACACCTGATATTAAATTTGTTAAACAAATACTTTTCTTTGACTAAATTATCAGCCGCTGTGACTTCCTGAATTCCTCAGACAACCTTGCACATGAACTGGTTCATGGAATTCAGACCAACCTAGCTCACCTCGAATAAGTGTTCTTCTTTTTCTTAGTTACCAGCTACGAAAGAAACTGTCAGAGCTTTGCAGCGCTCGGCGACGGGGTGAAGAAGGTGAAGACAAGTGGAGACAAGAGAGGGCCACCTTTCTCTTCCAGGTTGCCTGGAAGAAACAGCTGAACCCCAAGGCCTTGAAACCAGTCTCGTCCTGTAAAACTACCAAATCTACCAGCAAGAGCAACTCGCTCATCAAACAAAACAAGCAAACTGTCCTCCAACAGATCTATGGTAATTCCCTTTCTCCCGCAGTTGAGTATCTGTAACAAGAAACTCACTTTATCATGCTCGGATTCTGTGGTGAAACACCATCCCCACCCATTACAAAGCGTGAACTAGATGTGACATAGCAGTGGGGAAGGTTGTGGAGAAGCATCTTCTGAAATTCTCCCTGGAACAAACACATTCACACGTTATTTTCAAGGGTTTAGCAATTATCTGAGCATTTCAGACAATGTGATTTTTTTTTCCCCTGGGTCATTACTAGTTTCATGAATCCCTTTAGATGCTTTCTGCTATCTAAATACAAAAACCCACACCTTGGAAGAAGGGTTCTCCTTCATGGCAAATCCCCTCCTTTAAATAGTGGTCATGTGCAGTTGTAAACCCGTGTCTGCCTTCACGATGCTAATCTGCTGCCTCATTCATACAAAACATGTAAGTTTAAGGCTCTATAGAAGCATATTATACAGTTGTCCCTTCTATAGCACGACTTTCCCCATGGCAGTTTTAATATATCTTGGGTCAGCATAAGAAATTAAATGGGAGGGGCAGCTAGGTGGCGCAGTGGATAGAGCACTGGCCCTGAAGTCAGAGAGACCTGAGTTCAAATACAGCCTCATACACATAACATTTACTAGCTGTGTTGACCCTGGGCAAGTCACTTAACCCCATTGCCTAGTCCCTGCCCCCCAAAAAAAAGTTAAAAAAAGAAAGAAATTAAATGGGAATTTGAGGGGAGTTTTGCAGAAGCCACAGACTACACAAGAAGGTCAGCAGATGGCACAGAAAAAAAATTTTAAAACTCAGAAATGCATAAAATATGTGTATAGTATTGCATAATATCAACATATTTTATCTTTTAATACCATAATAATTCAGACTTCTTCTCTGGTATGAAAGGGGGGACCAAAAAATTTTATGCAGATTTTCTAGATTTTGGGGGGAGGGGATGGTGCACTTCTAATTCCCACAATGTTTCTGAAAAATCTTGGCTTAAAAAGACCAAGGTCTTCTACTGCATCCTGACCCATGTCCAGTTGTCTTGATTGATATCTGGCCACTGGACCCAGATGAATCTAGAGGAGAAAGTGAGGCTGGTGACTTTACACAGTCCACCCTCACTTAAATCCAATTCACTTGCATGTCATGGCATCACCTTCCTGATGTCATGGTCCTCCTCAAGAATGAAGGGCAAGGGGCAGCTAGGTGGTACAGTGGTTAGAGCACTGGCCCTGGAGTCAGGAGGACCTGAGTTAAAATCTGGCTTCAGACATATAACACTCACTAGCTGTGTGACTCTGGGCAAGTCACTTAACCCCAATTGCCTCATTTAAAAAAAAAAAAAAAGAGAGGGAGAGAGAATGAAGGACAAACCACAACAACCCCCGCAATGTGGAAGGGATAACTGTAACTAATTTTTACAAACATATGAGTATCCCTAATGCCATATTTGAATACATTATCTTTTTCAGCTTTGCTCAATTCACATATGGGAGGTATTTCATAGAATGTATTTAGTATGGCTCTCCCTCTCTGGGGAAGCCGACTAGCACTTTGTCACACAGAGGTATTCATTAAGTGTTTATTGATGATAATGGATTCTACTGACTAATTCTAGGCACTTTTACCATCTGAAATATCTAACCAGAATATGATCTGCATAGAATTGATGATTCTGTGAAAAAGAAAAGAGGCCACTAGGTTGCACAGTAGATAAATACTGGACTTGGAGTCAGGAAGACCTGAGTTTGAAACTTGCCTCAGATACTTACTAAATGGATGACCCTGGTCAATCACTTGACCTCTGTCTCCCTCAGTTTCCTCATCTGTACAATGGGGTTAATACTAGCACCTACTTTCCAGGATTGTTGTGAGGTTAAAATGAGATATGTGTAAAGCTCTATATAAATGCTACCATCATTATTATTAAGGAATAGAATGACAATAATAACCCATATCTATATAGCACATTAAGGTTTACTATCTGTGAAGGAGTTGATACAAATCTCCGTTTTGCAGATGAGGAAGAAGAGGCTCACAGAGAAGTGACTTGCCCAGGGTCACACAGCTGGTGAATATTGGAAATGGAACTTAAACACATTTTCTGACTTCAAGTCTAGGTGGCAAAATAGACATAGCTCTGGATTTGGAATCAGGAAGACCTAAGTTCAAATCCTGCCTCAGATATTTACTAGCTAGGTGATTCTGAGTAAGTCACCCTCTTCTCAGCCTCAGTTTCCTCACCTGTAAAATAAGGATATTGGAATTGATGATCTCAAAGGCCCCTTCCTGCTCTAAATAAATCTATAATGCTGTGATAAAATGACTTTTTTTTTCCCAAATAACTCTTGCCAACAAAACAAAGACATTCTGAAACAAAGCCTCCAAAGGAATCCCAATCACAGTACCCCCTTGGCCTGTATGATACCACCTCCCCATAAATACACACACAGGATGAACTTTGTGTTTATTCAGGTATCTGTAAGTTAGGACTTTCAATGAGAATTTGGGTTCAAATGGAGCCATATGAGCCTCCTACTGATTGGTTGATAACTGTTGCCTCCTTCTAGGATGCTCTCAGGAAGGGAAAGTACATCATTCCATGAGACCTTCATCAAAGCCTCCTCTCTCTGCGATGCACCTGATTTCAGGTAAGTCAGAGCCCTGTGGACAGGCAGTCACTGGTCATCTATCTGGAGTGGCTGCTCCAGGAGCTCATCTTCTCCTCACTTGCATAACCACCAGGTATTAGAGGCATAGGCATGAGTGAGAATTGCTGGGAATGTGTTAATGATAGTTAATTCTGTATATACCCTGAATTTTTAATTCTTCATTTCCACATTTCAGGTATCTGTGATTTTGATCACTATGGGCACTCCCTTAACCATCACAGATGCAACCTCCTACCCCTGGGTGAGAGTTAGTCAGTCAATAAATATTTAAGTACTCACCATGTGCCAAGAGCTGGGGATGCAAATACAAATTAAAAACAGAGACAGTCCCTGCCCTCAAGGAGTGTGCCATCTAATGGGGGATAATATCTTTAGTTGGTTCATGTGTCTAACCAGCACCCTCATGATGTCAAAAGAAAGCAGGGGAGCCCCCCAATATACTGGGTAGTCTTTGTCAGCGGCTGTGGCCAAAAGAAAATCACATGAACTTCATCCCCAAACTTAGCTAGACAAAAAACTATCCTTGGCCCCTACTCATAAGTTTGTAGGACTTAATAATTGGAAGAAACCTAAAAATTATAAGGTGGCCTGGAGGTGTCAAATGAAGCTGAGGGCAAGCCACTAGCAGAATTCCCCTGGGCCAGAAGCAGATTAAAATGTAATTTAACAAAATGAAAATATAATACAACATAGATAATGTTAATTTGTGGTTTTCTAAGTCAATATGCAGCCTGCAGGGATCCATTTCTGTTTAAGGTTGACAGTACCGCAAGCCTAGCCTACTCACTATAAAAAAGTAAAAGTAAGGCCCAGATAGGCTAGATGACTGTCCAGAGGTAAAAAAGAGCACAGCTAGGATTCGAACCCAGGTCCTTTGATTCCAAATCTGGTGCTCTTTCTTATCATAGACTCTCCTTGACCATGTTCTAACACAGGCCCCTCCAGGGCTTACATTCCACTGAAATGACCTTTGAGGACCTAGCATCACCTCCAAGCCATGATATGTTATCAGAGTAGGATTTTTGAGGGTTTTAATACCAATTTTTTAAATGGCTTCTTGATTTCAAGTGTGTATTCTTGTTAACTTTTAAAAAAGCTTTTTATAGAATTATAACTTAGAAATGTAATTGTTAGTCATTTTATAAGCAGTTAGTAATACTACTACTAATAGTACTAATAGTACTAGTACTCTTAGTACTAGTAGTAAAATTAATACTACAGTTAGCATTAATGCCTCTAAAGTTAGAGGCAAATTGTTTTCAATTACTGAGGTAGTGGGACAGAAAAAGAAAATGAAGTATTAGAATTTAATTTACAAGGGCACAAAACCGTAGGGGTAAGAGCTAACAAATGCTTTCCTCTAAAGTCTTAAACCTTCTTAGTCATCCCCAGGCTTTAAGCACACTCTAGCCTGGCCCTTTTCCCATCATCAACAGATACAATTATGTGTAATATTTCTGGCTGTCTTTCTTGGGTAGTATACTAAAAAATCATCTAGCAGATGAAGAAACTAAGGAACAGACAGATCAAATGATTTGCCCAGGGTCACTCAGCTAGTAAGTATATAAGGTAGGATGAGAACCCAGGTCTTTCTGACTCTGTCTAGTGCCCTAATCTACTATATCATGCTACCTCTCAATTTCTAGTCATTTTTATCTTTCTGTGAGCAGGCACTACGCAACAGAAAAACACAGAAAATTACCTACCGTACATACCACAGTCTACATGGTTTTATGACTTGGCACTAATTTCATGACTGCGATGGCTTCCACCATCAATGCACGTGGCAAACAAGGCAAGAATCAGGGCTGACATGCAAATGTGTATTATGCAAAGAATCTGCAATGGATTTGTGATCTCATTCAGGTGGATTTTTTTAATTGATGCTTTCCCATTCTGTGATTCTTGCCCATATTCCGTAAGTTTGTCACTATAGACCCATGCAATATATTGGGGGTCTCCCCTGTTTACTCTTGATATCACGAGGATGCTGGTGCCAGCATGTGGGTAGTCCAAAGGTGAATCTCTTACTCTCACCCCATCTGATTATAAACTCTTTGAGGGCAGACTGCCTTTGTTTTTATTTGTTTATATCCCTTGCCTGGCACATGGTGGCTACTTAATAAATATTCATTGACTGACTCTCACCAGTTGATCAGCCCTTTTTCTTTTTTGGTTAGACCTTTCTTTGGGGACAGCCACCATTTTTCTTTGTAGTAATTTGTTAGTGCTGCAACCTTGCTCACACTCACTCTCCAATGTCCTCTTGCATTACCGTTGAAAATAAATTGTTTTATTCATCAAATTGGTAAAAGCGTACAAAAATAACAATACTCAATGTTAGGGTTGTGAAGAGATATGTATGCCTTGCTGATGGAATTTAGAAGTGGTGGAAACTTTTGGGGAGTGATGTGACAGGGCATTGCAGGAATAGCAAAATGATCATACTCTTAGACCTAACAATTCTGTTATTGGGAAGATACCATAAAAACATTATTAAGGAACTTTTTAAAAAGTCTTATGTTTGAGAGAGGAGGAGGATAGCACAGTGGATAATCATAATCCATAATCATAATAATAAACATTTATATAATGCAAAGTATGTGCCAGGCACTGTGCTAAGCACTTTGCAAATATTATTTCATTTGATCCTCACAAACAACCGTGGGAGGTAGGTACTGTTATTATCCCCAATTTACAGCTGAGGAAACAGAAGCACACGGAGATTAAGTGACTTGTCCAGTGTCATACAGCTAGTAAGTATCTGAGGCTGGATTGTATATCCGGTCTTCCTGACTCCAGATCCAAGGCTTTATCCACTGTGCTCCCTCCCTGCCCCATAATGTTGGATTTGGAGTCAAGAGGGCCTAGGTCCAAATCCTTACTAGGTAAGTGACCATGGGCAAGTTGCCTAACCTTTATTAGCCCCAGGTGACTCCCTAAGACTATAATTTACAGAAAACTCCCTAGGACTTTCTACTAAGTCATAGATGGGCCTATATATTGGTAGGAGTTCTCACACCAATTAAATCATATAATAGATCTTTTACTAATGACATATCTTTTATTTTTCTCAATTACATGTAAGAAAAATTTCTAACATTTGTTTTTTAAAATGTTTAAGTTCCAAATTCTCCCTCCCTCCCCTCCATACCTTGAGAAGGCAAGCAATTTGATATAGATTATACTTGTGAAGTCATGTAAAAAACATTTCCATATTCACCGTGTTGCAGAAGAAAACAGACCAAAAAAAAAAAAAAAGCAAGAAAAACAATGTAAAAATATTACGCTTTAATCTGCATTCAGACTCCATCAGTTCTTCCTCTGGAGGTGGATAGCAATTTTCATTGTTTTTCAGAATAATGACAGAGCTTTTCAAAAATATTTATGTTACCATTATTTGCAAATGAACAAAAAAATCTGAAAGTAACCTAACTTTCCAACTTCATAGAATTGGTACATAATGTTTGTTGAATTAAAATGAATTGGGAAATGGCTTGATAAAGTGTGGAACAGTAATGTAAGAAAATACCGTAATGCAATTAAGAATGATAAATAGAAAGTATACAAATGGAATGCCCAGGCCCATCACCCCCTTACCCATGGGCCCCCAGAAAGCCACTCTTGGTTCTAGGCACTTTGTAGGTCAGAATCCTTTACAAATCATAGTTGCTGAGCCCCCACTGATCTGTTTACTATTCAGTAAAAGTCATACTTTGCTAAATTTGAACAACTAAGTAATCAAAGTAACAGGGCAGCTAGGTAGCACAGTAGATAGAGTGCCAGGCTTGAATTAGGAAGACCCATCTTAGAGAGTTGAAATCTGGCCTCAGACACTTACTAGCTCTGGGCCAGTCATTTAACCTTTTTTGCCTCAGTTTCCTCATCTGTAAAATGAACTGGAGAAAAAAATGGCAAACCACTCCAGTATCTTTGCCAAGAAAATACCAAATGGCATCATGAAGAGTTAGACAACTGAAACGATCTAACAAACACACACCAATGAAAGTAACAACAGAACATTTCCCTCAAAGCTCTTGAGCCCATTCTCCTACAAATATGAACACTTTGAGTGAGGAATGTAATTATAATTACGTCATCTTCCTGACTCCCAGCCTAGCACTCCACTCTGATACCATGTTGCCTCTACAAACAAAACCCCTAAGAGGAAAATATATTCACAAATACTCTGTTAAGTAGAGACACAGGACAATAAGACACAAAAGGAGGCAAGTCATAAATTGCCATGGTTATTTGTATGTTGACAGTATTCTAAAACTAAGTACATTAAAGAAAGTAGATAAAATAGTTTCACATGTAACTTTTTTATATTTTGTTACCCCATAAAGCAATAGAAGCTGAATAATTGGAGCATCTAAGCTATAAAGTTTGAGATTTTTTTTTCCTTTTCCTGTATATGGTTATAAGCCATCTTGAGTCTTAATTGCAGAAGAGTAGGTGCGTTTAACTTCCTTAACGTGATAAAATGGACAGTGTCAGCCTTCCCAGTTTGGTTTTTGTTTTTTTTTTTTTAGAACAATACCCATTTCCATTTATCTAATTAATAAGAGTTCAGAAAACTTTAACTTCATCTTTGAGGCAATGTGTTTTTGTTTGATAAGTTCAGTGCCGTCAGTGGCAAATGCCAGGTCCAGTGAATGCCTCCAACCATAAGTATCTATGGTAACATTCTCCCTACACTAGATTTTCTTATTCTATGTAAGCAAATCCTATCTTGGAAGGTGACAAGTGACTGCCAGCACTAACATTAATTTAGTTTCGTTTTTAAAAAAAAGATAAGCATTGGGGAGAGATGAGTGACAATCTTCCCCAAGGTAAAGGGTTCAAAATGATTTAATTTGATCAGTAATACTACTATGCTGGCTTCAGGAATCCTTGTTAATCTTCCAGTACAAGATTGGAAATAGGTTATAACCTATTGAAGAGTTTCTATGTAAGAATTTACTTTTGGAGTGTTAATTTGTCATTATGGCATGAAAAGTTTGTTTTTAAATGGTAAAACTTCAAAATCCTAGAAAGAAAATTTGGAGAAGGCATCTGTGCCATTGAGCAACTCATCTATAACTTATAGTTTTCTGGTCTTAGAGAATTGCCTGATGCACTGAGACGTTAACTGATTGATTCATGGACACACAACTTGTATAGGTCAGAAGCAAGACTTCACTATCTATCCACTCTACCATGCCTCTCCAAATGTAGCTAGCAAGGATCAGTAAAAATAAAATCTATTTGTATAGTCATATGTAATATCAAGAAACTATGATTTAGGTTGCTTATTCTTATTTCTTACCTTACAATGTTTGTCCAATAAAATTTTTTTAAATAAAGGAAAAGAATGCTATTCATATGTTAAAATATAAGCTGGCAAGTTCTGTGTGTTCCTTTTTTTCCCCCAGGAAAACAAAAGTATATTAAATTTTACTAAAATAAATAGCATATTGTATGTATGCTAAGTAAATCTCTAGTCATACATATATAGCGTCCTGACAAAGCCTGAAATGGGTTAAAGTTATCATTAATTCTTTTAAAGTGGTTATTAATTGAAATAAAAAGAGATGATTTCTTTTCCTATTCCCAACTAAGGCACTAACACAAAATGCATTTTTTTCATTAAATACTGATCAAGTCCTTGAACTTTATTTTAACCAGTAAATATTACTGGATATCAAAATTAGCCAAATTTAAGCATATATATTTAGCATACATGTGTGTATGTATATTCATACATATATGTGTATGTATATTCATACATATGTGTATGTATGTATATTCATACACGTATACATGTTTGTTGCTGTTCAGTCATTTCAGTTTTATCTTACTCTTTGTGACCTTATTTGATGTTTTCTTGGCAGAGATACTGGAGTGGTTTGCCATTTCCTTCTCAAGCTCATTTTATAGATGAGGAAATGGAGGCAAACAGTGACTCGCCCAGGGTCACACAGCTAGTTAGTGTCTGAAGCTAGATTTGAACTCAGGAAGTCTTTCAGACTCCAGACCCAGCATTCTATCCACTATGCCACCTAGCTGCCCATACATTTCTGTAAATTGTATCTAAAAATGAAACTGATTTATCTGTACCACACATGAAAACCAGTCATTTTATAACCATAGCACATGCATACCGTATGAACATGTTTGTGTATGTTATGTCTATATCTAGGGATAGAGACACTCAAGTGCAAATGATTTCGTAAAGTCATTGATAAAGTGACCCACCTTAATTTAATCAAAGTGATTACCTACAATCCTGCTTATGTTGCATGTTTAAAATGTTCCTTACTTTTATCACTATTTCTGATTTTTAAAGCATACATTCAAGATAACTCATGTAGCAATTACTAGATCCTTGCCTTATTTATCATAATCTCTGAAAATTTATACTCATCATCCTTCCCCTACCCCCAACTTCAAGAAACCTGGTGTGAAATTTCTGAAGATTGTATTGGTAGCTCTTTCAGGGAATAAGAGGGTGAGGAACTGGCAAATGTAGCTGAAATTGGCACCATATTGCAGGAGACATCCTAACCCTTGTCTTTTCTTTGCCCTGAATGATCTTAGCAATCCCTAAAATGGTTCATACTCCTCCAGACCCCTAAAAGCCTGAGGAAATTTTCAAGGCTCAGTCCTCAGCCCTTTTATAAATACTCCTGGAAGATTCTCACCTTCCTGAACTTCCAAGATAACTCCGGATAACTGACACCTCCTCTTCCTCCCTTTCCCAGATACACAATCACTGAGTACACAGGCTTAAAAATAGCCACCTAGCTAGGTATCTTCTGCTATCTAAAAGCAGCCACATCAGGCTGGGGTAAAGTCAATCATCCTTCTACAACAGTGAAGTTTAGATTATAAAGACTTAGCCTCTGTTTTCCCAGGGTTTTTAGTCAATCAGACTTTGTATCATCAAACCATAGGTCACATCAGCCAGAAAATGTAAGGAAAGTTGAACTAAAACCATCTTATCAATCCTGAGGAATTTATTTTTTAACTAAAGCTAATGACATGGAACATCTGTTTTGGCTTTTGTTTTAACAGTAAGCAACCTGCAGTATGTACACTTGCTTGAGAATAATGGAAAATCAAAGAACTTCTCTTACAACATGAGACCAGCCACTGAGGTGAAAACAAGAAATCAAAAATCCAGTCACTAAAGAATTGTCTTCATGAGAGATGGGACAACTAAAACAGTTGATTCTGTTAGCAAAATCACCAAATTTTACATTTCAGTCACTTTAAAAAAATCTAGCCATGAAATGGGGCAATGTTTACAGAAGTTCAAAACTGACTTCTGAGTATGTTTTCTTGCTTATGAGGTCTAAGCTGGAACAGTTTTTATTACAGTTTATTTTATAAATGTTCTCACTATCATGACTGGGAAACATAGTTGTTACTAGGATTATTAAGCCTATGCCATTTCTCTGAAAGACCATGCAGATGATAGTATTTTTTCTCAGTCTACGTCAATTTGGGGCTATTTATTAAAATGTCAGGGAAGGATGGTGATTAGCAAAACAAGGAGTAAACTGTATAATGATTGCTTGTGAGGCTAGGACTTCCCCCATGAACTGCTGCTATGAAAATAAGCCAGAGTAATAATGCATCCTAAATAAAGTAAGCACTTTTAAATGGTATTGAATGACAGTCCCGTTAAATGAATTCACTATTGTTTCTAAGTCAGTAGCCTCAACACAACTTCTACCACTTTTGCCTCATCCTGAGGTTCTCCTAACCCCATTAAAACCTTCAGCTATAAAGTTTCTCTTAGATTAGAAGCAGGACCTGAAGTTCTAACTCCCTGTCTTCAACAAAAAATAATTTTATTAAACTTTGATTTTCACTTTGGCTATTAGATGGTAATAAGTTAACATTTATATAACACTTTAAAAGTTTGCAAAGTGCTTTACCTGTTAGCTCATTTTAATATTAGTACCATCGAACAGATTGCTAACAGGTTGAATGGTCAGGCCCAAAGAGTAATCTCATTCAGCATGAACTTGGAAGGACTACAGTAGAATACCTAAAGATTTGTGTTATTTAACATTTTTGTTAACTTTCGCAAAGAATTTTAGCACTTATCACAGAGGCAAAATATTTTGATGTTTATAAGTGGAAAGAGTCAGGACAAGCCATTTTTGTCCCCTATAGAATGTTAAAAGTTAAAATCTAAGCTAAAACTTAGCAAGTTAAAAGCTTGTCAGGGAGATACACATGCAACTTATCACAATATAAGTACTTATGGACCATGAAATACAGACCCTTCATTATTAAAAATGCACGTTTAAGTCATATCGAAATGCCCATCTCTAGTTGCTACCCTACTCCAGTGACCTCATCTCCAATGTTCACTGGTGAACATCCCAACAGGGAATGGGTTAAGCAAGAGAAGCTGTGTTCTTAACTTACACTTGTTTTCTCTGTCCTGAACCAGGGGAGGGGAGAAAAGAGGAATTATTCAAATCAGATCCAAATTAGTATTGGAAATTTTACCAGTACTGGCTACTCACATGACCCCTCCAGTTCTGAACTGTATCCAAAAGTATTTCTACACATCCTAGGGGAACTATTTGGTCAGATACAAATGAATGATGAATAAGAGCATAGAATTCTATTTTCTTTTTGAGATGACTACTTTTAATTGGGAAGTTTCCACAAGAAGGAAAAGAGAAGTGCTAGTGAACTTTACTACTTGTATTTCCCATTGAGTAATTATGACACATTAACCACAGTATGAGCTATAAAATGTTTTACCAACTACAGATAGCTAGAAGAAAACTCTTCTCTGAATGTATAAATCTCAATAGTCTAGATCATCTAGATTAACTGGTGAGATGGCCAGTGTTACAGACAGATGGCTACATAGTGATAAGACACTCTACCTTAATGGAATAAGAGAACATTATAGTACAGAAAAATAATATGAAACCCACTATCAGGATTTTGTCACAGAAAATGTTTGAAATACATATCTCATTTTAACATCACACGTTGAAAAAAAAATGAAACACAGTGACTGACTAATGGAGTGGGGAGCTTCATTGTATATATAAAGACAAAAAGGAGCAAATGGACTTGAAACTGTCGTGCTTTTGTTCATTTCTCTATTATACATAATCGGTAGTGCCCTTTGATAAGAGTATTTTTTAATACTCAATAATGATCAAAATATCCACAACTGATTACTGTCATTTGTAAAAACAGTATTATATGCTTTCACTTCATTGTCACAGTAGAGGAAAGGAACACACATGCAGCTTTCTTTAAAGTTCAGCTTTATTGACAAATATTGTTCCAACTTTTTTTTCAAAATAATACAGAAGTAAACAGTTTAAAATTGTGTCTCTTCAACAGACTATGCTAACTGCCCCAGTGGTCTGAGGACGGCTGGCCAGGTAAATGTTGAAGCAATAATGAAGGTCTGTAAGCCACTGCTCCTGAGTTCCTCCACTCTTCACTGTCTGCAGGAGAGGGAAAAAAAAAAGAATCAGTATCCTCTGCTCTAAGTCTTGGCAGAAACAGGTTTTGTTTTGTGTTGTATCTGCCATGTGTTTTTATTTAACAATATTTATGCCTTTTTTCCCCCAAAATGGCCTCCCTGATAGAGAAAGTCACAACAGACCTAGCCAACATTTCTAACTTGACTGTAAGCTCCACAAGGCTGAGAGTTATTCCTTGGGATCACAACAACAGTGGTTTACACATTAACTATTCCTTACATCAAATGAACTACAAAGTTTAACAAAGAAGAAATAATATTATACACAACTAAATCTGACTTATGGGTTCAGTTAACATTTTATAGTGAATTTTCAGTAGAGGACAGCCATCTTGTATAAATGATTTCCCCAACCCCCCCAGTTATTAGCATATTCTAAGAGGAAGGGCTACACTATTTAAACAAATTATGGAGATGCTTTATGTAGTTTCTTCAGCCTTGAAAAACCCTACCCATACTTAGCTCCAAAGCAGATATGCTGCTTGGTATATTAAAAGGCTTTTCTCCCCCTCTAGCCCCCCCTCAGCTCTAGCCTATGATTTAAGGGCGAAGGCAGGTGTCCTGATCCTTCTGAAGGATTTCTAATGAAGCAAGATTTGACCCTGAGCCCAGACAACAGTGAATACCTTGTCTTGAGCTAGTAAGAGTCGGAGGTAAGACTTGGCAATCCTGTCTTCCTGGCTCTGAGACCAGCTCTCTATTCACTATGCTATGCTGCCTCTTGGAAATATTTCAAACTGCAAGTATTATTAAAGTAATCTTGGCAATACCTGGCTTAGGGTAGTCCTAGTGATGTCACTAAACTTTATATTGTTTGCCTACTAATAGAGACAAAAGTCCATTTGACTTTGATTTTTCCACTATGAACACATACCATAACCTCGACAGGGAGGTAGATTCATAAAAACGATAACATCTTTCTTCAAAGGTAGAGAGATAATAATTTTCAAGTGCCCTTAGTTGGAAAATAGCCAGTGAAAGTCATGTTATTAAAAAAAGATATACAAGTAAACTTCCTTTCCGCATATTCCCTTCTCTGAATAGAAGCACTGAAAACTGCACGTCAGATTTCGGTTATGTGTTGGAGATCTTGCTGAATAAACTGTTTCCCCCCCTTTTTTAAATTCTTTGTGATAAAGGATGATTCTCTGAGAGAGGAAGAGAGTGATACTGTGGCAAAAGGAAGTTATATAAAATTTAAAGCTATCAATAAAAAAAGATTACTATAAGCCAGTCAAGGTTCTAAGTGTTAATCAGGGATAGCCAATTGAGACACTACTTTATACATGCTACTTGTACAGGCCTGTGACAGATACATCTACTAAACGTTCATCTCAAAGGGATTAAAGGGGAAAGGACCTATATGTACAAAAATGTTTATATAAAGGAGTTCTTCCTTAAGTGGCAAAGAACTGAAAAAGAGGGAGGGCAACCAGGAATTGGGGAACAGCTTACCAATTCATGGTATAGGAAAATAATGAAATACTACTATATGGTAAGAAATCACAAAGAAGATAGTTCCAATGGGACTTGGCAGCACTTGCATAAACTGACTCGGAGAACAATTTATATAATAACAGTATTACTAAAAAGCCAACTGTGAAAGACTTAAGAACTCTAATCAATGCAATGAATCCAGGGGACCAGCGACAAAGCCACCTCCTGAGAGAAAGGTGACAGACTGAAAATTCAGATTTGCTGTGCATGACTATATGCATGTTTGTTACAAGGGTTCTTTTTTTCAATGGGGTTGGGAGAGAAAAAATAAAAGCTACTATTAATTAAAAAAGAAAATGGCCTGCTGCACTCTGTGTACTCCTCCTTTGGCAACAGTAAACCTCCAGCATTACGAATCATACAGAGTTAATTCCTTTAAGAGTCATCTGATGTTTTGTTCAAAGCAAGAACAAAACCAAGGCAAAGATAAGTAAACCACTTGGGGCAAACTGAGCAACGGATGACAGTGAACAGAGAAAATATTCAAATCTTGTTTTGCTTGTCTCATCAAGTAAAATAAAAACTATATGAGTTCAAGTTTTCCGTTTCAAACAAATTACCTCTGAGGGTAATAATCCTAGCAGCCCCAGGTTTTATAGAAGAATGAGGTACACTGAGTTAGGGTTAGTATTCTGACATGCTAACAAATAGAAAATGTGTTCCCGATTCAAGGAGGGATGGTCTCAGAGAAGTACTAATAGAAAAGTACTCACAAGCTGGAGGGAAAAAAAGAAGACATCAACGACCTAAGGGGAGAATTAAAATTTAGGAATGGAAAGGACTCCTTGAGAGAAAAAAAACAGAAATCCTAAGCAGGTTCGAGGGTCCTTCAAAGACAAGAGTTCTTCATCAGGGGGAGCTTGTTTTAAAATATATATATATATATAACGATTTCAATATAAATTTGTTTCTTTAATAATACTATATATTTTTATTTAATGCATTTTAAAAATATCACCGAGAAGGCTACAGGCTTCTAGGATAAGACACAACAAAAGTTAAAAGTGCCAAATGCCAGAGTTCAGTTTGAAAAGGAAAGGGTGAAAGGCTAAAATGTTCGGATTAAAGGCAGCCAAGGCTAAATAAGACTAAAGAGTGTGTGTGGGTGATGCCTGAAAGAGAAATCTAGTCCTACAATTCAGGTCCCTTCAGTGAAAAGAGCGACAAGACTTGTAATGGGCTTTACAGCTTGCAAATTATTTCCTGGGAGGGGAGTACCACAGGTATTCCCTATTTTTCAGAGAAGTCAACTGACAAAGTAAGGGTCGAAGAGTTAAGTGACTTGTCCAGTTACATATTTAATAAGTACAGACGTAGAACCAAGGTCTTTCTGACCATAAATTCAATGTTCTTTCTACTCTACTGACAAAAAGAGAATTTTAAAAAGAGGGCATTTACTCTACCCTTCCTCCATCATCTTACATAATCCTCAGCATAGTTAGGGCACCAAGCACACACCCTTCCTAGTAGCTTATAAGACAACAGACACTGCAGGCTGGGTAAAGTATCTTCTAAGATTCTGAACACTGAAAAGAACCTACCTAGTTTAAGAGCCATGATAATTTTTCCATCTTTGGAACAAAAGAAATATGACTTCCATTTAAAATTAACATACTCTAGCATGGAGTTACAGGGAATAAAAAATTCTTTCAACACCAACAATTCAATTGGAATTACTTATCTCCAAGAAGTAGCTGTTAATGGAAGCTAGCATGGTATAGTGTAAAAGGGAAATGGGGTTTGTCTCCAATACTATATATCCAGTGAATTGCCAAATCTTCTCTTTTTTATATCCACATCTCCCACCTACCCTCTTCTATGCCCTCAAATGTTGGTGTTGAGTCTAGCTGCCTCAGTCACCAGAGCACTTTTGGTTCAAAACATCAGCTCGTGCTGGGACTCCTGAAATAGCTTAATTAGTCATCTCTCCCCACTCCAATCCATCCTCCACACAGCTTCCAAATTGATTTCCTAAAGCAGTAAACTCCTCTAGAGCTCCCCTTTAGGATAAAACATTATTTCATCTCATCCTTTTAAAGTGTCTATTATTGTGTAAGTTTTATCTGGTACATACCTTTTAGTACAATAGTACATGTACGTAATTTATAGATAAGTAAATATTCACATTTTGGGGGGGCGGTGATCAAAAATTTGAGGCCACTGAAGTAGATGGCTTCTGAGTTTTCTTCCAGCTAGATCTACTAGGATCCTATGATCTCAAATACCACTGTCCACAAAATCAAATGTGGTAGAACTTGCTTGAGCAATAACACAGGGTTTCTCACCAAAGTCCTATGCAGCTTCATAGCCTTAAAATCTGGGCCCTTGGTATGAGATATCACAAATTCTAACAGCTAGAATTCTGAATGCTGCTTGAACCAGGAAAAAAAAGTAAAAGCACTCACTTGAGAGTGACAAAAGGTAACAAATCCTGCACTAGTCAGCACAAAGGTACAATCTACTCCCAACCTTGGCCACAGCAAGATGGTTATGTAATGGTCAGGACCGTGCTCAGACTACATTATTAGCATCTTAATGCTAAAACCCAAGAAATGATTTGTGAAAAAACCTCTTACCATAACATTAATATCCTTGACAATCTGCTGTACCAGAAGTGCGTTTGTCATCATGTGTACCCTCAGTGGTGCCTGCTGTAGGAGCAAGCGAATCAGCTGAGCAACAATTGGCAACTCTTCCTGACATGTTTTATTGATCTGCAGATTCTGGAGCATCAGTCTCAGTACTCGGGGCAGAACAGCCAGTACTGAAATACAGGATCCCCATAATTTATCCCTAAAGATCAAAGGGACAGACATGAAGAAGAGGCTATAAAGAATTCAGCAGCAAAAACGTTCATTTCTCCTTCTTTCCCCCAAACGAAAATATTCATTTAACAGGACAACATATTTAAATAGCTGATAACAGCAAACGAGCTAATGAGGAAAAAATTAATTTCATCAGATAGAAAATTAATTCTGCGAATATATTACAGAAGTCCCAGACTTTCAGAAAACCTGGCAATAGACAATTTTTCGGGCCCAACAAATAGGTATCATCATTATCAGTGGTGTTAAATCATTATCAGTTAAATTGTCAGACCATTAGACTGAGAAGAAACTGATCAAAAGAACCAAAAATAAAATAAAAAACCAGTAATGCTTGATC